CGCCGTTAACTAATTACCTACGATTTCTTTGGGAAGTAAAGAGCTTGGAAACAGAAATCTTAGACTGACACCGAAACCAATAGGAAAGGTGTCTGACATCAATATTGTTCGCATTTTAGGTAATATATCACATCTGCAAATCTTCTAAATTCAGCGAAAGCATTTTAGAGTCTCAATCCTAATCGAATACCTCTGTAAATTCAGCTATTGAAGAAACATGTGGTTGCTAGTTCGATAGTCGATTTATTCATCTTGGCATGTATACAAAATCGAAAAAGTTGCTTCCATATTTAGATGAAGTTAACATCAGTGTATCGCAACAAAATGCGGTTTTATGGCATAAACATTATTTCTGACCAGCTAGTAAAGTTGTTCGAAAGTTTCCTACTTTCATATTTCTGTTTTCACTGGCGAGCTCAAGCAGTGAACGATTCGTAAGCTATAGTTATGTTTGTGCTCAACATAAAGAATGATGCTCAAAAAACATATGATTTATTGTATCAAAGTTTCATAACTAAGGAAATTTTACTTACAGGAACTTATTAGCTGTGGTATTCTCACTTTGAATTAAGTCAACTCAGCATGAGAAGACAGAGTTCTCAAACAATTTGCCCAAATCACTTTAAAGTTTAAAATCTGGGCACGAAGCTGTGAGCTCAGATAGGTCCAGATTCGTTCCAACTAGTTCCAGTTAAAGAAGCTTTGTTATATTTAGAGAACTGATTTGCTTTTGTTTCAGTTTTTGTTATAGTTTTCATTCTAATGTGTTAATCTAATGAAAGACATGGACTGGAGAAAACTATCTTGAAGTTTATAAGCAAATATTACAATGATTATGAAAAATAATTCATTTACATGTTGTTTAACACGAAGTCGTATCATGCAGATTTAAACAGAAACCAAATGAGAGCAAATTACATCTTGATTCTCAAGACTTATTAGGTTCCTGATAAGATACCAGTCAAATGTAGCTGCAATTATGATTTGAATAAGATATTCTGGCTCACTGCTTTACCTTACGAGAGAGCAAGAAAGCGACCTTAGTTTACGAAGAGTGATAAAAACTGTTAAAGTAGAAATTCTTTTCACTTTCTCGACACCTTCGTTTCTTGCACAAAGAGTTAAAACTCTAAGACATGCTTAAGAAAATGTAATAAGATTTGCATGATCTTAACATTTGCGTGCGAGAAAAGACGTCCCGTGGAGAAACGTAAAGAAAACTTTTGATAAACAATTATTCAAAAAGCCATTTAGTCGAGATTGAAGACGACTTCGGCTTGCTTAACTCCGAAATGGAAACGAATTCTTTCCTCAGTTAGTACCCTAAGCGAACCTCCAATTCAGTTCTCCTTCTCTTGTAGACCTTTTTTTCCTCAGCTTAATGTCTGTACCAAAGTTATTTTTTTCGTGGTTTTACCCCTGGGGCGTTGAAACACTTAGTTCTCGGCATGAATTCCCGAACCCTGTTGTTTCTAAGTTTTGAAGAAATTTCTTATCGTGCTGTGAGTAAATCAAGGTTATACAACAATTTAGCTCTGCCGTTTGTCAGCAAATACCTTTCTTAAAAGGCTGTTTCTTCTTTCGAGACAAAGCTAGTAAGTTCAACATTTTCAGGCCGGTATGCAGAATATGTCAACCTAGATACAAATGATCGTGATAAGATCTACCGCTTTTAATCTGTAACACTGCTTTGAGAAGAGCCGAAAACTAGTCTAACTTGATTAGAACTATGATCAAAACCTCTGCATTTGAGCCCATGCAAGATCTTGGGGCACGTTGAACAATTAAAAGTAATCAAGGTAGATTTATAACCTATAAAAACAAACGTAGGCTTGATAACTTCATTTTCAACTTGCCCCAAGTTTACTGTGAAGAACAAATTTGCTAACCCCTTTGTTTGAATTGAAATTTTGGAACCCACACACACACATTATTGATTCAGCTCCCCACTTATGCATTCAGCTTTTGTCCAGACAAAATTGCGCACTTGTTGTAAACAAGATTGGCGTTTATTTACTCGATATTATATCTTTTAATCGTACAAAAGAAGTGTAAAGTACATTATTGACGGCTGTTATTTTTTGGTGTTTTTCAGGGATCCAGCACGAGTTCGTCTGGTGGCGAAAGCTCCTGCGACGAGGCCCGAATCCGAAAACCGAGACTTCGGACAGCTGAGCCTAGACTTCGGACCACAGCGTTAAACGAAAAACTCCGCGAAGATTGCCCGATCGGTGAACCGGCTAGCTCCGACTACAACTCGAGCACGGGCGAGGAGTCGTGCGATACTGTGATCTACGTGGGTCCCGACGGGGCTATTAGTGACCGCGAGCTCACAGACAACGAGGGCCCGCCAACGAGGCTCCCTATCAGGAAATCGAGCGTGTCCGACAGTACAAGGTCCCTGGTGCGGAAACTAGAATCGATTGAGAACGAAGAAGCGGAATTTAATGAAGAAGGCGAGGACTTGAAGCGTGAAGTCGAGGGAAGTGAGGACAGTGGTAGTCTTGCAGAGGAAAAAGCGCAAGAAAAGATACTTTCCGCTCGAGAAGAAGGAGAAGGAGAAGAGTTCAGCGAAAATTACACTGAGGAATCGTCTTACGAGACCGAAATTGAAATCCTACCCGACAGCCGGAAAGCAAGTAGGAAAAGACTTCTTGAAAATAAAGGAAGCTCGTCGAGTATTGCAGAAATCGCGGGGAAGGACAAAGCCAAAAGAAGTAAGACACACCAAAACGACATCGCTAGCCCTAAAGTAAAGGAGGTGACTGAAATTTCCGCTCCAGAGCTCAGCACACTTATTCTACCGTCTAGACTAGGTCCCAACTTAGACGTTGATGAAACGATGAATTCTCGACACAGCACTGTGGTAATTCCCGTACAGTCGTTTCCAGGCGAGGAAGCGAAGCTGAGAGCGCGGGTCATGAGCCCGGAGACATCAAGTGAATCGTCGGACGCGGAGAGCATTGTGATGGCCAAGGCGCCATCGTTTTCTTTCTTGACCTGTACCGCTGTGAACGACATCCACGCTGACTCCATGGACTCTCTTAACATGGAGCAGGACTTGCACGATTACGAGATGTCTCGACGAAATGGCGACGTAGCGTACTATCGGAATGACAACGCAACCGACTCAATGAATTCACTCAATTCCGAGCAGAATCGATGCGATGAAGAGGTGTTTCGTCATTACGAGAACAGAAACAGTCGCGCTAGTAGCGAGATAACCGCGGAACTGATCAAAAACTGTCAACCACACTCCCCGACGTCGGACACACCCGATTTGTGTTACGTCCTCGAGGAGAACCGAGAGACCAGCTCCGATGATTTCTCGTATGATGACACCGAGCTAGTGTGGGGAAAACAACACGCGGAAGACGAGATCATCGCCGAAGCCTTCTGTGAAGACGAGTGCGAGGTCGAGGTGGATCACTTGGAGAGAAATTTCACTGGCAGCGAAACCGATGTTCTTTTCCCAGAGCTCGAGGAGAGATTACAAGACGTCAGCACATCCGGTGAGCCTACGGTTGAGAAAATCAGTGCGCAAAAACCCAGCCAGCGGCAAAGTTCTGATGAAAGCTCAGCGGAGTCAGACACGGATGCAATTACGCGCAGTTACACGTTTGAAACACCAATGAAAATGTTTTACCGTCTCGTACCCTCGCCCCAGTCTTCCTCGACCGAAGATGAACTGGAGGACATTCAAGTGTCAAAATCTTTCCAAAGTAAGACATTGTCTCCAATACCTGAATTCCCTTCAGTGGAGTCCAATCTGAACCAGACCCCCGCGGACATCAGAAATGGCGCGAAGAACCGCGCAAGTTGCAGCTACAGCATCGTCAGTGTTGAAATCGACGATGGCACCAACACGATTCTTGTGGAGGGTGACAAGGAAAACATTCCACTAAAAGACATGGACAACATGACAAATTCAAACAGCAAAGGAGATCTACGATCACTTCTGCAAAAATTCGTCGCCGAACAGCTGAGAGAATGCGAAGGCGAGAAGTTCTCTTCGCGGTATGCTCGGCCAGCCACTCGGCATCCCGAGCATCGCCGACCACGCCCGAGGCCAAACCGACGTATTGTTCCATTAGCTTCGTGCGATACGTCGGGTAATGATATTCTTCTACCGCCACTCGTGCCACAGAAACGCACGTCGGAAACCGCCAAACTCATTTCCAGTCCTAAGCTTCGGTATAGGGGCGAGAGAGACTACGACAGTGACATTGCACCGTGCCACTGTAGAACGCAAGACGGCGATGAATCAAGTGATAGTTCGATGACGGCTAAGACGGAGCCGTGGTGTACGCCGCGTCGAAGTGTCATCAGATCACAGTTTGATCCAACGCCGAGGCTGTCCTCGCTCTCTGTTGGAAATATGAAAACGAGCGTTACATTTATTGGATGCGAAGACGAGAACAACAATTTCCACAAGGCAAGCAGTCTCGAAAGTGCTTGCGTTATAGAGAATGCCGAGAAAGAATTAAACAGATCGGATAGTTTGTTCAGCGCTGACCGCGTTTCTACGGATAGACTATCTCGAAAAGACAGTGAAAGAGTTGAGCATTTTGTCAAGGCAAACAACAGTCGGTCAAAAAGATGCGACCGCGCATCGATCAGCTCTATGTCAAGTGTTGTGAAACTCACATATTGTGGTTCAGAGGTTTCTGACACGGAATTCGAGAGACCTGATAAGCCGTCGAGGATGGATAAACAGTCTTCTAGAACTTTAATAACACACCCTTCCAACGCCATTTCTGTTTCTGTCGCGAGGCCCATCATCCAGTACATTCCAGTCCCGCCCGAGACGCCTTACGCTCCACAAGAGGAATTCATCGCGCGTTTCCACGATCGTTGCGCGCCACCGCGAATCGTTTACAGATTGTCGGGCGAGTTTGTGGCGACAATACCCAGCTCAGAACCAAGCGCGTCTCAAACGCAAAACACGGACAGCACTCACAGCGTCGCGAACCGTCAATACCGCTTATCCGGAGAATTTGTAGCAACTTTTACAACGGCTGCTGAAACGCAAAACGCGTCCAATATGGCGCTGGCGTCTTCCAGCGTGGAGGACAGTAGCACAAGAACTGAAAGTACCGAGGTTGTGTGGGTTGCAAATGAGCCCGTGGTGTCAGCTGGAGAGGTGACAACGGATGAAATGTCAGGGCCTTCGACGCCTGTTGCACCAAGAAATGGAAAGTTTGGAAGATTCAAATTTTTCGGGTGAGTAGCAACATTTTAAAATTTATTGTCACATATGCGCGATACTCATCTTTGCAGGTGGAAGGGGAATGCAGAAAAGGAGAAGGCGGGAAAAGCTTACCCTCAACTCCCTGGGAGGAACAGCTGAACAGGACGGAATCGAGCCTAATTTTCGGCTGCATGTCGTCAATAGCCTCATTTCTATTTGACTTTTATCTCTATACATGTACTTAAGTTGTTGTTTTTTTCTAGACGAGACCGCAGTAGCTACAGCAGCGGCCATGCAAGTGACAGCAGTATTGGGGACTCCCCAGGACCTCGCGGACGAAGCCGGTCGCTAAAGAGAATGAAATCAAGTAAGCTTCTCGTAATACTTAATACTTTTTATTTTTGGCGAAATTGGTATCCTCTTCCATCCTTGAAGTTGTTAGTCATACTCACTTCCTAAAGACTTCCCTGTCTTTGGTCGAGTACTGTTCCACAAAATTGTTTAGTCATTAATAAAATTTTTGTTGCAGGGTTTCCTACAACTACAACATCTTTCCTTTCATTTCAAACGGGATACAAGCAAGGTAGAAACTAACTCTCTAGCACTCTTCTCTTTCAGTATCTTCGCGATCTGATGCGGCCAGCAGCAGTGGCTATGAGAGCATGCGCAACGATACAAGCCACGCCTCCAGCGACAGTTGCAGCGAGAAAGGATTGAGTCGCGGGAAAAGAAAAGGTAAGAACCGGTGCAAATATTACTGTCTATTCAAGTATTCATGCAAGCCTGCAATTTGCCCATTCTGTTAATCTTAGCTTATCGAAGGTACCTCATCTCGTAGGTGCCTATGGTAGAAGCCGTTCTGCGTCCCCTGGTTCCAGCACTAGGAAATATTCGCCCAAGCGCTGGTTTTCGAGGAAGTCTTTGGAGCCAGTTCAAATCAAGGTTTATGAAGTTGATGATATGGAAAAAGTGCAAAAGGCAATGGACCCAAGCTTTCAGGTACAAACCGAAGTATTTATCTCTTCCAGTGTTCTGCTGTAAGTCAGTGGTTCGCTTGTTCGTTCGTTCATTCATACAAACATTCAGTCAGTCACTGAGTCAATCAGTCAGTCAGTCAGTCAGTCCGTTAGTCAGAGGGTCAGTCAGTCAGTCAGTCGGTCCGTCAGTCAGACGGTCAGTCAGTCAGTCAGTCAGTCAGTCAGACGGACAGTCAGACGGACAGTCAGACGGACAGTCAGACGGACAGTCAGTCAGTCAGTTAGACACGGACAGACAGGCAGACGGTCAGTCATTCTGTCATTTATTCATTCAGTCAGTCAGTCGGTCAGTCAGTCAGCGAGTCCGTCAGTCAGTTAGTCAGACAGTCTGTCAGCCAGTCAGTCAGTCAGTCAGTCGGTCAGTAAGTGAGCCCGTCAAACAGTGAGTCAGACAGTCTGTCAGTCAGTCAGTCATTTATTCATTCGTGTTCGTTTGTTCGTTCGTTTTCTCATTCAGTTCAGAAAGGCATTTCTTCAATGTGATAAAGTTTTCTTTGTTCATTTTTTACTGATTTTGTATTGCTTCGTTTTATTTATCAGTGGCAAGATTCTGAAGAAAGAAAATCACGCATTGCGACTCTACGACGGAGACAACGTGATTTAAAAGATGAATTTTCAGCTGCCAAGAATCGACTGCTTGATGACAATCAAAGATGGAGCTACGGACGTAAGTGATCAAAGATTAATTTCTCCTCACAGTATCGTTGCATTATCAAGCGGACAGGTGATGAGAATAACGAAAATCATCAATTGAAGGATAATTATTGCCTTAATGTAACACCGAATTCTCACAACTAACTTAACAAAAAAAGTGTGGATATGATTAAAGAGAGTAAATATTCTGCATTTGGGGTAAAAATTTTTCAGAGGTCACGTCATTCCTGACTCCAACTTAGAAATCTGTTTGTCGTATCACGAACACAAAATCCCTTGATGCGTCTTTTTTTAGGTTTAAAAATATCGCACTTTTTAAAATTTCAATTTCCTTGTGAAAATTGAATCTTTCTCGTGTACTCAATTCAATCATCTCGCAAGGCGGATGGATTGGGATCCATCTAATATTTGTGATTGGTTGTCATGTTCGCTCGAAAATTTACAACCAGAAACGACCAATAAGAGAGACGGATCTCCACAGGGCTACGTTGTCAGTAGTACTTTTTCGCGTTGAATACAGTCGAATGTTTCTCTTGAGCGTAACTTGAGCCAGGAAGAACTTGGCTCTCGGATAGAGATCAGATATGTTCTGAAATCGAATCGGTCATTTAACGTACTATCTGGATATGACTGTATAGTCAAATTATTGATTAGCATTTCGCTTGCTTTTTTCTTCGCAGTGAAAGCGGAAAAAGAGCTTAACTGGGAAGACCCAAGCTTCATAAACGCGTTAGAAATTGAGAACAAAACTCTTCAAGAGCGGATTGCAGCATGCAAGTCAAACATCATGATGGTGACGTCATTTGACAAGCGGACGACGCAAGTCTGAAATTCAGGACGTCATCAAGCAGCCACGTAATGTTGATAATGACGTCACAATACAGCGACATAATGTACAGTTTAACGTTGTTTGAAACCAAATCTTAGTTAGACAAATGACGTATGTGTATTTCATATTTTCAATGAAAGTTTGATTGTTAGTTTGTTAAAGGTGTTACGTTTATGTTTGGATTAACAGTTTCAAAGGCGTTTTAAATAGAATCTCTAGCTCAGAATCGTTATTTTTGAAAGATTTCTTCAGTATTAAAGAGAACTAAGTTATTTTAATTATATTCCTTTATATTAAATCTATATTGCGGTATTTATATCTCAGACATAAGTATATTTTCTCATGGAAACTATGGTTATTATTATATTATTTTTAGTTATACTAAGAAAGTTTATTCGACCACTTATCTACTCTTATAGAATTTCTTTTCTATATGTTATAAACTTCGTGAAAAGTCCATAACAATATTTTGACTCCTGACTTTGTTTAGAGAGATCCTTTTAGGCAGGTTGTTATAACCCGGTTTTTGACACCATGACTCACTTCATCTATAATTGAAGTAAATCATTCAAAGCCGCGTGGAAGCCAACTAACTGCCAAGTAAGCCGTTTGAACGCCGTGTAACCCATTAAATGCCAGAGAAGCCAACTTAAGTTATATATTCAATTCAACCGGCATTTTTCAAAGAGTATTTCTAACTGTTTGATAACCTTTGTATAGACGCGTACGCTGACTTCAAGGTCAAGCTTATCAGTTTAGTGTGCTGTAATTTGTATAGGTGTGTTTGATGCGCTCGAGCACGCTGTAAAATTTAAAGTACGTTTCTCTCGACCATTCAGACGTGCTACAAGAGGCCCTGTTTGTTCATGTAAAAAAAAAAATCAGATAACTTTATCTATCCGACAAAAAAAATCGATTTCTGTACATTGTGCAACCCGAACCGTACAATGAATTTAGGAGTAAAACCGAACGGAAAATGCAAGTTTCTTCATTAACTGATTTTATCATCTTTCTATAAAGGTTTTTAATATTATTTTAAACCCTTTTAATGCAGTTGTTAGCGACACTTTGATCTCACGAATATGTTTACAGTCTCCTTCTAATCGAAAGAAATGTACTCTGCATGGTTGAGAGAAAACCCTTTAAGAGTTGTAGATAAATGGGTTTCAAGAAAAAATGGATGAAGAATGATTTCATGTGTGCTAAGATCGATGAAAAAATGCGATCTTCTGTAAAAAATGTAATCGTGTGAAGGATGCTGGCTTAAGCAATTATTATGCCGAATTAAAATTTCCGCTGTCATTTAATTTCTAACAGCTTTATATCTAAATGGCAAACCTATTTCAACAAGCTACTTCTAATAAGATTTCCAAACTTTGCAACGTAGGTTAAAAAGGCGAGGATTTGGTTCCACCAAATTGTAATTTAGTCTTGAAATTGTAGCTAAAACACTTTGACTATCTTTATTCCTCCTACAGAGTTTATAAAATCTATTATAGTTTTGGTATGGAAATAAATTGAAGTTGAGAAAACAAGTTAAGAGTTTGTGCTTTCCAACTGGATTTTAATCAACAACTAAAGAAATATTCTAGTAACGCAAACTGGCTGCGTAGTCAACATTTGTAAACATGTGACAGTGATTTTGGCCTTATGAAGTCTCTTAAAAGTTGGAATCTATCAGGGCGCGTGTCTGCTATTACTGTGTTAAACAATAATTGCCAAATTAAAACTCTCACAAAATTTAAGTTTTGAAGAGCAACACGAAGCAGAATTCGATTTTTCTCGAAATTTCGTGGCGAAGCATACGACTTACGTTGTCTGGTATGTTTTAAAACAGAAGATAATCACTGTAATATCACCCCCCGGGGAGGGGGGTACTCCCTGAAAAATCGGATAGGGGTGTGCGGCCCGCTTCCCAAAACCCTTACCCTATTTATGACCAAAATCTGCGATATTTCCTACCCTATTTATGACCTGACCCTTAAATCAAAACTCTGTTTCAGACCTGCGTTATAATTAGTTCCCAAGCTCAGACCAATGTTTAATTACCGTAAACATAATTTGTGAAGGGCTTTTGTTGATTTTCTTTTCGATAATGATGAAAAAGCGGCTTCTTCTTAAAAACATACCCATATCAAGGCTAGAGTGCAAAAACAATACCCTATTTATGACCAAAATGGCCAAAATCAGCTAAAATCGATACCCTATTTATGAACAAAACAGCTGAAAAACCATACCCTTTGGGGCCGCACATACCTATATAGCCCATATAAGGGAGTACCCCCCCCCCCTCCGGGAATACAGCATGCTTTGGCAAATCATTGAACGTCTAAAGATAAGAGCGAGAAACTCGGAGAGAAGTTCAACGACAATTCGTCTTGAAATCTCGTTGAGTGTGGACGAAACCAAATTAAAAAAAAACACACACACTCTACGACTTTGAAGAAACATTTTAAGCGGTTTTCACATTCGCTGACAACGAAAGAAAGTCGCAAGCAGTCGAAGTACATGCATGACTCGTGTTTTAAACTCAACGGTCAATATTAAACTTAAACATTAGAATGGTTACTTACGTTCGTGAGATGTGCTTCTCGGAGAATAGACAGGAAACTTGACGAGTYCGAAAGCAAAGTTGAGAAGAAAACTCTCTCGCAAACCAAAACGGTGAAAATTTGCATAATCCAGGCACGTGCGAAAGCAATCGTGCATCACGTGATTATCACGCTAACAATTCTCACCCCCGCCCCATCCTCTTCCTGGCTCAGGACATGTCTGAGGCAGCGTCCAAACTACGTCAGAGGAATTGTATTTGAAAACACAGCTTTATTTCTGCGGTTAGGTTTGCCGCCCACACAAGTCCGTCACGAAAACGAAGCTTTTCGAAAACGCTCATCAAACCGGAAGAGTTTGAAAACGCCGGCTTTTTGTTCACGCGTGGACGGAAAACATTTTGAAAACGGGGCTTTTCAAGAACGATGGCGTCGCGATAGTAATCATGAAATTTCCCCGCCCGAGTTTTCCTCAAACACAAATCCGAGGTGACCAGTGATTTTTGCGTTTTTTAAATTCTTCAAGGGTAGTGTGGACGGAAAACCTTTGATGCGTTTTCAGAGTAAAATCTCCGTTTTCAATTCCTCCGGCGTAGTGTGAACGGGGCTGATCTCCCGGCCCAACGATCGCAACATTTTAACGCAAAGTACCGCAGCATTGTTGGGCACAACATGTTGCGCGCGTTTGGTCACCCTGTTAGCTTTTGCGACATGTTGGGTGTTGTTGGCTCAAGTTTGAAAATGGACAAATTTGAGCCAACAACACCTAACATCAGGCCTGACCCAACATGTCGCCAAGCATCGCAGTAGGGTGGCCAAACGAAACGCGCGCAACATGTTGCGCCCAACAATGATGCGATATATGATTTGGCCGGGGCTTGGGGTTCGACTTTTATAACTACACTAGTGCCCAGAAAACTTTAACAATCTGCGCTGAATGTTATCACGGATTAAACAAATAAAGATCCATGTTGTTTTTCATGTAGTTTTGAGACTTATTTTATTTTCAGTGGGGTTTAAAATCTCTACAAGGAAACAGAAATCATATAAGAATGATACAACTTTTAAATTATATTATTCATTAAACAATATTTTCAATAGTGTAAATAATTGAACAATATTTCAATAGTATAAAAAAAATTACACTTTGATTAAATTTGCCGGCATTCTTAATATTACGCCAGCTAAATAACTAGGACCACCGTTGTTCGAATTGAAAGTCTCAGCTCAGGTTTCTTTTGACTGAAATCATATTACGCAGAAAACAACAAACAACGATTAAAAATTTAACTAACCTTTCCAATTCGCATAATCCTACAAGAAATATTTTTGGTACTATTCTAAAGCAAGAGTTGACTTATGTCAACTTAACTCGTTATATTTGGTAAATTTAATCTTCCGGTTCGACCTCGCCTTCGTCGTCGTCGTAATCTCCCTCTTCCTCGGCAGTGGCGTCCTGGTACTGTTGGTACTCAGATACCAGGTCATTCATGTTGGACTCGGCCTGAAAAAGAACAGAATGAACCGGGTCACACAAGAACTGTCAACTGAAACGCGCGCTCTATCTAGCTTTTCACAACTTGTGCGCTTTTTATCTGTCACGTTCGGTTTGCATTACAATTTGAAATGCTTTATTTGCAAGATAACTTCGCCTAGTCCACTTCTGACCCCCTCNTTAAAGGTAAGTAACATAATCTTGAATTTAATGCGTTCAGAAACAGGAAGCCAGTGTAATTCTTTCAGTAATTCTTTCTTATGAAAAGGACGGGGGTGCTTGTCATTCCTTTTAGGGGTTAAAAACGCGTTTTTGGTACCTCTTTATGGTGTTCATCCTCAAAAGGCCCACAGCGGGAACTTTTGCGATACCTTTTAGGGTATTGAGCCGAAAAAGATATGACAGGAGATAATGTGTTGTTTTAGAATTGGTACCTCGTTGGGGGTGAAAACATTTTTGAGCCACACCCACAAAACAGGAACTTGGTACCTTTTAGGGGTCCTTTTCAAAATATCCGACAAGCACCCGCGTCGTTTTTACGTGGGAGTCCCCCTCCCCGGGCTATAACTACTGATAGATGATACTCCTGGGTTCAAACCATTTGCTTTGAAAAGAAGATTTTGTCACACAAAACAAAAACAGCAAATGATCGAAAACTATTTTACCTCAGTGAATTCCATCTCGTCCATCCCCTCTCCTGTGTACCAGTGCAAGAAAGCCTTACGTCTGAACATGGCAGTGAACTGCTCACCGATTCGTTTGAACAGTTCTTGAATGGCAGTGCTGTTGCCAATGAACGTGGAGGACATCTTGAGCCCGCGAGGAGGAATATCGCAAACAGCGGTCTTGACGTTGTTAGGAATCCATTCCACAAAGTAAGAACTGCAAAAGAGAAAAATACACAAACATGTTGAACAGATTGAATCTTAATATAATACAAGGCAATACTCGTCATAATACCCATGTAGCCTGACAGACAAGTAAAGCTGCAGGTTAGCGGGCTGAGCGCCTTTCAACAGGGAATGATTTTCAAGAATTTTAAATGACTTCGGACCAAACAAGGCATAGCTATTGCCTTTAGTTTGGTATTGGCCGTAGGTTTTAAGGGAGTATGGTACCCTAAAATATGGCGATGTTCATGAAAAATTCAATTTCTTGGAAATACAAGACTTAAGACCCTTGAGGACTTGTCAAAAACATTT